CCCGCGTCAGGCCGGGGGTTCCAAGTTGCCTTCGAACGGCAATTGGGGTGCGGAGGGGCAGCGGCGCTCCGGCGGCGGCAGCGATCTGTCTGGGCTGTTGCGGAGATGAGGTGTAGATGGGAGTTGTTATTTACAGCCTGAAAACTTTCTGAATCGAGACTTGGATCTTGCAAGTCGTGTACACCGTATCGCTCTCTTTTTTTGAAAAGCATACTGCGTGTATACTGCTGTAACTTTGTGACCAGCTCTTCTTCTGAGACCACAAAGGTTTGCCCGTGCCCTTTGAGCAGCGCATCTCTCGTCAGAATCAGTACCGAAGGTGCTGCGGGGTGCCACGGTTGAACACCCCAGTGCCATAAGGCATTACACTGAAAAAAATCAGTTTGCAGGCCCTGAATGCGTGTCAAATTGCAGGGCCTCTCACCCTCTTTGCTTCTTGAGGAAACTTGATAATAGTACAGGTTAGTCAGAGATGTAGGCTATATTTGCTTTATCTTACAGATATTTGAAAGCAAATTGCGCTATAACATTTGTGTGTATATTAGATTTTGTTTGTTTGAGTGGACATCCCTGACCTTTCAAAAGTTAGAGCCTGTCAGCAGGGGAGGGGAAGATATGATAGCATGCATGAGTGTTTCATTTTACCAGAAAATAACTAATTTTTCTGGGATTAATTTTAAATTTTTATTGGAAAGTTAGCAGGGTGTTTTGGTTTTATTTTTCAATTAAATTACACGTGGTTTTATTTAAACACTTAATTTTGGATCACATCTCAGGAATTATTGTTTGTTTGTTTTCGTTAAACATGACTGGTTTGTTACATCGTTTCGCAAGTGTGATCCCTGACATGAAAAAGTAAACCTAAATTAACTGAAAGTAAATACAGAGAATGGCTTCTTTCATTTTAAGCGATGCAGCACGGAGTGCAAAAGGTAGTTTATAACTACTGCAGGCTGTGCAGGCCCCTGACTGTAGGCTGCTTTAAACACCAGCGAGGACCCTGGGCAATCTTGTCGGAAGGGTTTCGCTAACACTGTGACTATGAACCTCTGCACACAGCAACGCTAACTCTGTCTGGGTTGGGCATGGGCATAGAGTCCTGTTTCTGCTACACTACTCAGAGTACACAGTGGAAACTTTACGCCAGCTGCAGAGGGTGTGACAACATCTGCCCTGAAGAAAGCCTGAAAAAAATACATCAGTGTTATTAAACACAAACTTGCAGAGTGAGTCTAGACTGGGTCAGCATTTACTGTCTAGTACATGGAGCACCAAAGCCGTGTTTTAGCTCTTGAGACTATGTTTCAGCCTCAAGCCTCACTTCTGGAAGATTTATCTCACAAAGTTCTGTCATCAGGGATTTCATTCAGGTAGTTTGGTTTGCCCACACACAGTAAGTTTCAGGAAAGAGATCTGAATTTGTACAATTGACTTTTCTCTTCTGGATTTCTGTCCTGTAGACATTTAATTCCTTGTCAGTAGTCATGCTGAAGACTTAATGGGACTGCTCATCCAGGTCAATTCGTGCCTGCCAGTGTTTTCACAAGCTTTTAGACACTGATCCTACCAATAGAAAAAAATATAATTCTGCACAGGTTAAGTGAGTGGGATAACTTATCTTAGTAAAATAATGAATGTGCATATATGCATTAAGGATACAGATCTTAAGTTCTTTCTAGCTGTTTATCGCTCTCTTGAAATGTTTGGAGTTCTTAGTACTATAACAACTGAATCAGATTATTTTATTACTGTTACAGGAAACACCTTCTTTGATGAGTATTTTTTTGCTAAATAGGATCATACAGAACAATTTCCAATAAATTAGTTCATGGTATACTGGATTTCTGTTTAACAGCTACAACATATTGTCTGTTTCAGCTAACCATGTCTTTAAATTCATCTACGCTTTTCAATGACGAAAACTCTCAAGGACCAAAAAGAAATACTGAATGCTTGGAAAGTCTAGAGTTGCAGACTCCATCTTCGTTTCAAGATAACCCACTTCAACAATTACAGCTAGCATCGCAGGAAGTACTTGAAAAGGCGAAAAAGAGTGGGAGATCAAAATGCCCCCGATGCAGTAGCTCAAGGATGTTTTATTGTTATACGTGCTTTGTTCCTGTTGAGACTGTCCCTACCAAAGAAATTCCGACTGTGAAGGTTAATTTTTCTTATGGATTTTCTATAACATTCTTGTGCCTTTTAGTTATTGGGGACAGAGAACAGACAGTTCTTTTCTGATTCAATCTTTATGGACATGCATCTTTAACACAGCTATAAGTATGAATAAACTACCGTTCGATAAAATCATTGTTCTTATTTGAGGAATTACATGTACAAACACTGACAATGTTCCAGTCCTCACAAAAACATTTGTGCATCTACTAGATGAGAAGATAAGCTGAAGTCATGCAGCTTCTCATGCAAATGACAAAGTTTTCACTTCGTTCTTAAAAGTTTCTTTACCACTTCATTCTTCAGTTTGTAAGAACTCTGGCCAGAACAGAGTGCATTGTGAACAAAAAATATGATTTGTCTGTAACCAAGAGTGAATTTTACTTAAAATGTGAGCTAAAAGGCATTCCTAAATGTCATTGTTGTATAATTCAGATAACCACTCCTAAAATAATAAATAAGGAATAAAAAGCATAATGCCCTTCAGCTAAAATACTTGGAGAAACCATCAAAGATGACTGAGAGACATTTTGCAAAATCACCTAGGAACTAAAATGCTTTATGAAGACACTTTGTACTTGGAAAGCATTGTGAAAATACTTTAGAAGTACTTTAGAAATTTGACCTGGTGGATTTAGGTGTATTTTCATTGAAATGGCCATTTTTGCAATAGGGTGAACACCTACTACAGATAACTATTCATATTGAGGACCATTATATTGCTCAAATTAAGACCACATCTTATTTACCTTATTGATACTACTCCTAGAGGTCTTACCACGTTACTGCTGCAGCATTCCCAATTGCATTCATTGCATACTTAGGTATTTACATGAACTGAGAGAGTGTAGCAGGTGCTTCTTGTCACTTTTCTCTAGTTCTAAACCTATTAAAACAAAAACATTGTCACACATTGTCAAATATGCTTTAATTACATGCCCATAGGAATTTCTCCTGGATTCTACAGAAGTTTTTGTACCTGTATATATGATAATCATTATTGCTTCTTTCTTTCTTTTTTTTTTCCTTTCTTACTGTAGTTACCTTTGAAGATTGACATTATTAAACACCCAAATGAAACAGATGGCAAAAGCACTGCTGTACATGCTAAGCTCCTGGCACCTGATGATGTTACAATTTATAAATACCCTTGCATTCCAGAATATGAAGAAAAAAGACATGAAGTAAGAAATTCCATATAGTTAGCAAGGGCTTTGGGCTGGGGAGGTGCAGAGGTATCTGCTGCACTTCCTCCTGCAGTGGTACTGCACTCTGCTGGGAGGGAGTGGGAGGAAAGCACTACTCTATTAATCCTGTCCAGTCCACTCCATCTTGAGCTGTCTCAAAGCTTGGGCCTACAACTGTACAGTCGCTATGGGCTGTGCTCCAAAGCTTGGAAAAACTGTAGCACTCTCTACCCACCTTGAATTTCCTATGTTCACCCCCTTCGATAATGGGTAATTTGATTCATTGTGTACCATAAGTATTTTGCTCAAATGTGTGAAAGTATTCAACTTACAAGTTAAACAGCAGTTTGGTGTTGTGCTCATCATATTCAGCAGCTGCAGTGTTAAAACTTCCTTAAAATTTTTAATACTGTCTATCACACAGCCTAAAAAAAGTGAGCTACAAACTGGGATTTATAATCACACCATTTAAATGAGCATAATCTGAAATCTAATATTTACATTTGATGTCATAATTAACACTTTCATTATTGCTTGACTACATGAAGAAGAGGATAATATACATATCTCATAGAGATGTTATTTTCTTCAAAGAATGAGGCATCGAGGAAAGCATAGGTGGCAAAGAGGCAGGAAGCTGATAAAAAGCAGAAAGAGCAGTGGGGAAGGCAGGCAGAAGTGGGAAGAGAGTGTAGTGACTTTTTATTGTCCAGGCTTTAAAGTCACAGATTCCAAATGCTGCAATAAGTTACTGAAAAAATACTAAGTAAGGCCATCACTGGTCGTCTTCACGTAAGATATTTGTGGGACCTGCAGTAGACACAAGGGCAGAAGAGAGTATATCTTATAAAACTTGTGAATGAAATCAGAGACTATTGTTTATGGCCTTCCTGCCTTATATACTGCAATGACAAGTGAAATTTAAACTTCCTCAGGGCTGACACCATTGTTCTGGCTAAAAAAGCTGGGGAGGTTTTTTTATTTGTTTTGGGTTTGGTTTTGTTTGTTTTGGTTTTGGTTTTTTTTAACACAGGTTTTAGAGTTGGTAGTAGAGACATGAAGGTGTAATTTAAAGTTCTCTAATAAGTATCTTTATTCATTATTTTAACATGGTCTTTTATCCTTTTAGCTAATAGAGTATTTTTTAAGAGATACACTTTCACGTTCCTCTGACTTAAAGGTTGTGGGTGGGGATAAAAAAATTTCTGTTCTTTAATGAAAACATTCCTGGCATTTTATTAGGTTTTGTTGACACTCAGATTTCTTTCTTTTCTTCATTTAGATAGCACTTATATTTCCTGGCCCCAATTCAGTTTCAGTAAAAGACATTGCTTTCCATCTCCAAAAGTACACTAAGAAAGGTATTTATGATAATGACGATGACTGTTCCAGAGAACCATTTCATAAGCAAGCAAAAATAGAATCTAAAGAAGAAAAAAATCTAGATGAGTGCATCTCAAGCAACGGGAGTGAAGACACTAGACTGAAGAAAATTATTTTTATTGACAGTACCTGGAATCAAACTAACAAAATAATAACCGATGAACGACTTCAAGGTAAAAAAAGAAGTTGATACTGAGATGTTACTGCTGCAGAAACGATTAAGACAAATGTATGTCTATATAGAAGACCTGAGCATGATATAAGTGTATACATAACCCTGTTTCTGAGTATACATGATTCAACAGCCTATGTCAGTACTGAAGACGACTGCCTGAGGCAAAGACTCCATTACTTTTCATGTCATTTAATTTGCTTTGCAAAATGGTAAGACTAGTATTAAAGCATTTACATTTATTTCTCCCACTTGTCTATTAGAACAAATTTCCTCAGTCTCACAGGATGGAACCTGTCATGTTAGACAGTAGAAGAACAGTAGTTTGAATGACCTCTGAGGGAAGCCAGAAAGATTTCCTTTGCTGGTTGCTATCTGCTTTTTCAGGAGACCCAGGGGAGAATTTTTGTACACTAGTGGCAGACAGGCCACTAGAAGGTGAAAGAGGGATCTGGGAGATACAGCACAAGTATGTCATGGCTTGGTTTCTTTTTTTAGTAAAGTTCTTTATTTCATGGTCATTTCAATGACCTCACTACTTTCCAGGCAAAAGGGGAAGGCCTACGTGCCCTGCACACCCTCCCATCTCTGAAAGCAAAAACTTGTAATTCTACAAAGGTTTTTTGTCTTAGGCTCATTACAAGAAGTTTACAGTTAAGTATTCTAAATAAAACCACAAAAGATAAAAATTTAGAAATAGCATTGCATTTCCCTTGAGATTAACAGGAGTTTGAAAATTCTTTCATTAGTGAAAAAAGGTGCACTTAGCTGGGAGGCAGGCTATCAAGTTTACATATAATATATATAACTGCTTACTAGTACCTGCTTTGCACTGGACCCTACAAGGAATTTCAGACTTCTTACATGCAAGATTAATGTTGCCTTGCTGTCTAGTCAGTTTATTAAAGAATCCCACATGTTAGTATAATGTATTAGCTAATTAAAATCCAGTTACTAAGTATTTAGTTTAAAACAAAACATTCTATCAAATAAATTGAAGTATTACTGTAAAGATTAAGAGTAATTGCATGCTGCAAGTTACTGTAAAGAATTTGGAACTGATTTTAAAAGGCAGAATTCAAGAAAAGTAACAGGCAGCCAGGGGAACTGAAGATTTCTGTGGAAGCTTATACAGTATATCAATCAGTTAAAAATTCCTGATTGTTGTTTCTTTGGAGGTCTTAAAGAATGGCTTCCAGTTACCCCATGTGAATGCTGATCTGGTGGACTCTTCCCTCCTTTCTAGAGCTTCATCTCTGTTCCAGCCATATTCCAATCCTCTGTTTCCCTGAGCACCTTTCAGCATTGCTGTAAGGTGTGACTAGTGTCATGTAAGTCAGTCTCTTTTATCCACACCCAGGGGAGAATTTTACCCTGCATACAGCAGGTATAACAGTGTACACAACCCATGCATTCATTGCTTTCCTTAGTGCCTATCATAAAGGACGTAAGTTACATTAATACTCCTTGTAGAGATTGCAATTTTGCCTTCCAAGATGAATGGGGCAGAGTTTTTTTAGACATAAACTGATGAAATTATGTTGTACACTGTCCTGGTTTTGCCTGGGATAGAGATAATTTTCTTCCTAGTAGCTGGCATAGTGCTGTATTTTGGATTTAGGATGAGAATAATGTTGAGAACACACTGATGTTTTAGTTGTTGCTGAGCAGTGCTTACACTAAGTCAAGGACTTTTCAGCTTCTCATACTGCCCTGCCAATGAGGAGGCTGGGGGTGCAGAAGAAGCTGGGATGGAGCACAGCCAGGACAGCTGACCCACACTGGCCAAAGGGATATTCCATTCCATATGACATTATGCTGAACAAAAAACAGGAGGTTGGCCAGGGCCACTGCTCAGGAACTGTCTGGGCATCAGTCAGCAGGTGGTGAGCAATTACATTGTGCATCACTTGTTTTGTATAATTTTTTATAATTATTTTCCTTTACTTTTTTGTCCTATTAAGTTGTCTTTATCTCAACCTATGAGTCTCACCTTTCTTCCTATTCTCTCCCCCATCCCCCTGTGGGGGGAGCGAGTGAACAGTTGTGTGGTGTTTAGCTGCCTGCCGGGTTAACCCATGACATACAGACATGAAAAATAGAGAACTGTTGTCATTTCTCAGTTCAACTATAAATGAAGTCATTATCCAACAAAATATTCCTCAAATATTAAAGTTCAAAAAGGAGCGTTCATAATTCCAAATAAAAAGTAATTGCCATATTTATTCAGAAAGATGAAGTTACAAGAAATACTGAATGGAAACACTAATGAAGCCAAGAAAATGTAGAGAAAAGCCTTGTGTTTTGTAAGCCTGCATTTATATGTAGAGTAAATCTAGCTAACTGTACTGCAAGAAAAAGCAAATGGTACATCAATCTTAAAAAAAAGCCTAGAAAACTTGGACAAAAAATACTTTCTAAATACTTTAGAAAGCAAAACTAAATCAGTTGTGTTAAAGACAGGAAATATTTGAAAGTTGGTAATGTCTAGGATTGATTACTTCATTAAAAGTGATCAGTAGATCAGAAAGGAAACAGTTGCATCTAATGTTAACGATTACTTTCTCATATGAGTGATGAAGCTTACTGGCAACATCATTATGGTTGTTAAAGAAACAGATTGCTTTGCTATTTTTTCCTGTAAGTTTGATCCACTTTGTATTAGCCAAATGTCTTACTTTATTAGCTTATACATTCTCTTGTACAAGGCTGAATCATACATCTGCTTTAGTAGTTTGGGTTTTTCTAAGTTTCTGTGCTTGCTTTTCATTTCCACAAGAAAATGCCTATGCACGGCTACGATATTTGAGAGCACTAAGTTGATGTTCTCTGAGGCAAACTCCCCTCATCCTCTTTTTCTGACAAATCTTTTGTCTTCTAACATTTTCATCTTTCTTCTTCCATCAAAAATCACACGCAGGGGCGTGATGCAAAGAAAAAGTGAGAGTTCTGTCATGAGTTCCCACATTCTTTCTAAAGTAAGATACACTGACATGATTCAGGGGGCTATAGCAGAGGCAAGGTGAATCCAAGGTATGTAAACCCCTTCTTCCTCAGCCTAAATCCTTATTACTCATAAACCTTGGGAATCTAAAATATTAGGAAATTCCTGCCTGAAATAGCATTTTCAAGCTGTTACCTCTTTAGGAAATTAACAGTATAATTAAAATAACATTAGACTCTTACTACCTACCATACGTACAAACCATAATGATTCATTACTTAAAATTTTCAGCACTGGTATTTCTTGAACTAGTGAATCTCCCAGTTCACTGTGTAAACTGTAGGGAGGAAGACATGATATAAGGCTCATAGTAAATAACAGGCTTCAGCATGTGTGTAAACTTTACAACTTACATCTTGTTGATAAGAACTTAGAATCTCTTTTAGATGCAACATCAGTGACCAAACGTGATTAATATAGGATTCTACAGCTTTGAGCATTCGGTTGTTTCAGTGGAGGGAGCACAGGGACTATGCTGTGATAATAGGATGTAGCATATCAGGAAAAAAATCAGGAAAAAATGGAGGCTTAAAGAAAGGTGGGAGATATTTCTGGAAGGTATTGTCTGCCAGAAGGCACATACATAGAAGAATAACTTTTGTAAGGGAAATTTGGTTACGTTACCTGAGTAGATTTAAAGGTAAGCTGTAGTTCCATCTCACTCGATCTCAGATTCATAGAAACATTTATTTCTGATGAGCTCAAAGTATGTGGATGCTAAAAAAAAAATAAAAAAAATCAAACCCAACATGTTGATTTCCTTAGTGTTGTAAGCTTTCATATGAACAATCAGTACTTGTAATAAAACATTGCCTTTGGCTGTATACATACCAATACAGTACAGATAATAGAAACATGCTCAGTAAACTGTAACCCTTAAACCCCTCTAATCTTTTTTTTGTTACAAAACTAAAATTATATGTTTGAAATTAACTGATCCTGCATTTGTGGTAAGCTCAGTAGTATCAGTGGGCTTGCCTTCAGTGAACATTTGTTTGTATTCAAACCACAAGTAGGTGGGAGTTTACATTGGAAGAATCATCCCCTAAATTTATTTCACTGCTGTTAAGGTGGAAACATGACTGAATTTGATGAAAGTTTTCACTTTGGTTAGGGCTGAGAATTTGAGTATTGAAACCTCTTGAGGGAAACAAGCTTAATGCAGTTTCCTATTACTATTTTGAATACACAGGTATAAGATTATTAGAGGTAATAATTAGACATTTAAATTCAGTGATAGAATCTCCTGTTCATTTTTTTTTTAAGCTGTAGGAGAGATTTCTTTTACTATGCAATATATCATATATTACTAACTGCAAATCAAACTAAATCCATCTTGCAATTACATTAGAAAGAATTAAACTTAGTTTGAAGCTAAAAAGAGTGTAGAATTACAAGTGCTGGGCTGTAGGCCAGTTGGTACTCCTGAATTTGGACCTTACGGAAACTCTTCTGTCCATAACTTCCAAGGAATTCTTAAACCATATTGTTATTTATACTATTACTTGTACTAAACCATTCCATGACACACATTTAGGATCTGATTTTAAGTTTAGAAAAAGACAATTTTACAACCTGATCCTGGTATTTGCAGGTGTATACACTATAATGCATCTGTCCATCCTGTTAAAGTGATGACACGTTAAGATGTTTTCAATTCTGAGTAGTTTGTGCGTCTTAAGGAACATAAAAAAAAAAATCAAGATACATGTTTAAAATTCATCTGAATAATAAAACAGTTACATGCACTATAGTAGATTAAAGATTTTCATATGCTGTAGAAACCAAATTTCTTTCTTTCATCTCAACTGGGAATGCTTTTAGTTTCTAGTAAGATTGATGACCAGATTCTGTCATACTTACTCCTGAGTAATCCCAGTGAGATTTCAGTTACTTAACAAGCATAAATGAAAAGTTTCTGGCTCTGAGCAAGTACTCCTCAGTTCAGCAGAACTTAGCAGTCTGAGTGATTCTGTTCTACACTCAAAAGGTCTTAGCTTTGCAAAAGATGAAGTTTGATTAATCATTTTATGGACATCGATGAGTTTTTCTAGGTGTGGGTTTCACTCTTCCAATTTGAGGGCCATGAGACTGTATGAATAAAAGGATAACCTATAAGTTTTAATTGCAAATCTGAGGATTGTAGCCTAGAATTCACAGCACTTTCCATCAAATTACAAAGTGGTCCACAAAGGAAGATAAAATTACTGCCTCCATTTTACAGATTGAAAATGGAAGTACAGGAAGAAAACATTATTTGCATGCAGGCATCTAGCAGGCTAGCAGCAAAGTCGGAAAACAAAACTAAAGATGTGTTTGGCATCCCACCCACCAATGCACATTGTCTAATCCATCAGCTTTGTTTCTTGACAGGGTTGCTGCAAATTGAGTTGAAGACAAGGAAAACTTGCTTTTGGCGTCATCAGAAGGGAAAGCCAGATACATATCTTTCCACAATAGAAGCAATTTATTATTTCCTTGTGGACTATCATCAGGAGATTTTGAAAGAGAACTACAAAGGACAATATGATAATCTGCTTTTTTTCTTTTCATTTATGTACACATTGATTAAAAATGCCAAATGTTGTGCAGGAAAAGAGTAAGATGTCTGTCTATAGGTAAGTAACTCTACATTTTGTTTCTTTTGTAATGATAAACTGCACAAATGTAACTTTTATCTAACTGAAATCTGCAAGTAGATTGTACTCTTAATAATGGCTACAGTGTTTGACCTAAAGTAAGGTACAGACCTCATGTCCTGCACGCTTGAGATAGTAGAGCTACTCAGATGAACACTGATTAGAATTACTTATTTGAAAACAGTTATGCTTTGCTAATTATGGCTGTGTTTGAACCTGATACGCTCACCACAGTGAGATTATTTGCTGAAGTGGGGATAAGACAGTTTGGCCCCTCTTGCCATAAGGAGTAATCTCTGTAACAGTAAAAAGGAATTAGCATGCTAGCTTATTATTATTATTACTTTGTTTCAGGTGTTTTCTTTGTGTTTTACCTCGTAATACTGATTTCACTGTCATGACATCAAAATTTACTGAAATTAGGATGGTATACAATTTGGCAGGAGTAGGGTGCCAATGCAAAATGAAAGACCACATTAATTAAGTGAATAGAATGTGAATTATGTACTACCAAGGTTAATTCTGGAAAACTGCCCTAGTAATAGAAAAGAGCATTCTCTTGAAACATCCTTATATGGTGCATGATTTCTATAGTGCCATTCACATACTGTTATGTTAAGATTATTCTCAACTTCTCAGATAATTTTCGATTTCTTCAAAGAGAGTGGGAGTATAATATCATTATTAATTTTGGGAACACTAACTTAACAAATGTCACTGGCATATCATAGACAGTAAAATTTTGTAGATGCCACAGACTTGTATTCTAAGCAGCAGAAAGGGCTCGTTGCACTGTAGGAGTTGTATGAAAATGTCAAACTTTTTGCAGGACCTAAGACAAAGTAATTTGCAGACAGGAGAAAGACGGAAAATGGTGGTTCCAACCACAACACTTCTGACAAGACTTCCTTAAATTAGGCAGACTATGAATCTGCTGTGTTTTCAATTTTGCAGTAATAGTGCAAATTTGAACAGCATAAATAAGAATTCATCTGTGCTGGTGAAATTTTTGCTGGTATGTGTAGCGCTGCTGGCAGAATCTTCACATGTGAATGTAATTATACAAGTGTCTTTGCCAAGCTATACCATGCAGCTAATGCTGGCAGAAGTAATAGACCTAAGCTATATCTTTACAAGCAGGGTTATACGAATATATTTTTATCATACTAGGATGTTCTGCCAGAAAAATACACGGTGGTAAAAATTATAGTCTTAAGGTAGAAAGAAAATGTTTCATTAGAGGTACAATATAAGAAGGACAAATATTTCTGAATATTCTCAGAAGTGTTACTTACAAAACTGAATCTTGTTGAAGTAACATAGATTGAAAAGCATGAGAGATTATTTTTTAACAAAAATTCTGAAGATTTTTCTGTATTTTTTCCTCAGCAAATCTGGCTAATTTATCACCTATAGCATACTGTCCAGCAGGGCACCCTCACATCCTGGTGAACCCAGAAACTGTGTGTTTCAGTGCCTTGAAAAAAATGTCAAGAAAATCTTTTTACGCTTAACACAGCAATACATACAGGCTCAAACAACTGATTTATACTATGTTTAAGGCTTCAAGATACTAAAATCAAAGTTAATATTGCTTAAAACAGAAGATAGAAATACACTCTCTCTGCAAGTCATACTTATCTCCAGATCTGTATGCTTATCTGTACAAGTGAATGCATATAAAAATGCATTTCAGTGGACAACCAAAACGCATCTCCTCCATTTACAAAAATGCTAGTTAAGTTCCATGAGTGCACATTAAGTGTGCATGAACTGTAACACCACCATGAGAAACACAAGCTTGAAGTCAGACTGAGAAAGATTGTTTTTAAATATATAGAATGGCACAGCTGTTAAGTATGTTGTGAGTTCATGTGCCAGGCAATGAGAAAAATCAGCAGTCGTGTCTCAGTGCTATTGAAACAACACATTTCTTACTCATTTGGTTCTTATTGCTATTGAGAGGTTATTTTGGCTTTTTACAAGGATTAATGCTATTTCCTTTGGTATGAATTCTGATAGTCTTTTGACATTCCCATCTGTTCTTTTATTTCTTAAACAAAGATTGCTGTAATATTTTTTTTAAAAAAATCGCACAAGTATAAGAGCTTGAGAAGGAAACTTTCACCCACTTTAAACAAACAAAAATAAAATGAACCCACTGACCTAATGTTTTACAAGAACCAGAGAGAAAAATCGGGGGGGAGGGGGAGTTACTTCCAAGACACATTTCCCTGAAAACATGTTTTTTTATTTAAAAAGCAAAGGTCAGATAAAAGCTTATATAAGCTGTTCTTTGTTACTTTTAGAAAACAGTTTCATAAGGTTAAAAATGGTTTCCAAATTTAAGTTTTCTGTACCTCACTTTATTTGAACAATGGGAATTAAGAATCTATTCCAAAAGTAAATTAATTTTAATTCTCGGGTGAAATCAATGTACAGAAAAGATTTTAGATCTGGAACACTGTGTTCAGATTCTTTTTCTTCCAGTGCAACCTCAGTGTAATGCAAGAGTCATTCTTACACTAAGTGACAGAGGCACATCTAATATCCGTAATTAATCATGGTTTGTTGATGTTCCTGTGATAACCTTTTATGAGGGCAGGAAGGAGGTTATTGTCACTTCTGCTGCAAATCTGTTCTATCTGAGCAGCAGATGTTGTTCCCCTTTCTCTCTCATCTCCTGCTCTCCCTTCTGTAACAAGATTTAAATCCTGTATTTAATTTCAGTACTGGTATAAGAAGCCAAACCTAGCAAGTCATCCTCCTTGCACTGAAAATGTCTCAATACTGCTGATACATTTTTCCAGCTTTGAGACTAAAGAATAATTTTGTTCCTCCAAATGAAAGCAATCAAGTGGTTAATCCTTTCAAGCGCAATTAGCAGCACTGACCTCCCTATTCTTTAAAATGAGGGTCACAGGGAGGTAAAGGCCAGTTCTGGGCCTTTTCTTTCATATCAGAATACCCCTTCACTAACTATCTCTTCTGTTTCCAAAAACATCAGAGAGCAAGGGGGAAAACAGGCTTCTACTTCCATTAGCAGTAACTTAAACAGCCATAAGTTAAAGGGGGAGGAAAAGGAAGAGCATCTCTATCTATCTACTTTCACAACAGAAGACATCTGGCCTCCTGTGGGGAGGCCCCAGATAACAAAGAACCTGTCATTACAAACCTCCAAGATGTGTTCAGAGAACCATTTTACCTGCAGTCTGGCTCATTCATTTCCTGCCACTGAAGCCATCTGCTTTTGCTTATTGTGGGTATTTTTGTTCTTCATTTGGCCAGGAGTGTGAAGTGGCTTCACTTTAGCATGCCTGTATGCTTGGTCAGAGGGAGGATTTAATCCTTTTCTCAAAATTAATAAGAGAGGGAGCTGCAAAAAACAATTCCTTTCCTGGAAGGTAGCACAAAAGTCATCCAAGCCTAGGTTGAATAAAGGGTCATGTCAGTTCATGGGGTAAAGATACATTGAGACTGAAGAGATGGCAACTTGGAATCTACAGCAGAACCTTCCAAAGCACTTGTAATCTCACCTGATTTAAATCCTTTGCTACTGCTTCTTGCAATTTTTTCTTTTTCAGTGTGAGTCCATCTGGTTTTCTACATAGGCTTCTTCAGCCCCAATTGCAGAGTAATGTAGCAATCTGTTCTTGTTTTTTCTCTTGCACTGGTTTTCAGTATTTTGCCTGAATGCTTTAAAAATCAGTCTGTCTTCATAAATGATGGTCTTAGCATCCTTACATAAAACAATGTGATGTGAAAATCCATTCCACCTATCCCTGTCTTTGGAAATACCAAAATAAGGAGGGGGAAAACTTCCTGTTAGTTTCCCATCATTTACTGTAACGCAGTTACAGCACTCCCAGGTGCCACTGACATGTGTCTCAAAAGTATTCCAGAAAGCTGCGCATCAGCTGAATTCATCAAACTTGATTTGCGACATAAAAGCAGTGACTCTGTGACTGCAGCAATGTTAAAACAGGAAAGCTTTTCCACTAAGATGAAAAGATCGTGTGGCAGTAAGATGCTGATCTATTGATTCCAGAATATGAGGTCACCCACTGAGGTACTGAACAACTCAACATAATTCCTGAACTGTTACCACTTTTCTCTTGAGACATTATTTTAGTAAAATTCCAGTGCTGTCATCAGTAAGAATGCCGATTTTGACTGGTGACACTTAGCAATACCAACATTCAAAGTAAGTGTTTATATGAAAAATTTACAACATTCTTCCTGTTCACTTGTTGGGAAAGATAACACAGTGCTGCCATTTTATGGATTCTGAAGAGAAATCAGATGCTGTAGAATTTTGAAAGTAGTGTATCACATTAAACTTTAAAAACACTCAGTGGTGTGGTTCTTTACCAGTACCTGCTAGAAAAAAAATTTGAATGGTTCTTGAGTCCCACTGCAAGAGGTAGAAACGATTTATCTAATGCAAGCCATACTTTGTGATTTCACCTCACTGAAAATGGAAATTTTTGTCTTAACCTTAGCAATACTACTGCTGTTATAATATTGAAATCAGTTATGATTTTACTACTGACTTTTCAGACCACTGATGTTACAATAAGAGGTTTAGAAACCTACCACAGAAGAGTGAACAGAAGAGAATGCTACACGCCAGTATACCCAAGATTGAGTCCCACTTGACCTATGATACTGTGTGCATCACTTCCCTTACCTGTAAAGTCAATTTCTGCCTCTGAAAAAAATGTCTCTACATATGAAGCTGTGCCCATAAGCCAGTTGAACTCAGCATGAAATCTAAATGCTGAGTATTATTACTTCAAAGGTTCTGATGGTAAAATTTCTGCTTTTCCAACATACGGCAGTATGTGTACATGTGTAAATATGAATAAATGTATACCTCCCTCCTAGTGATAAATGCATTAGGACACAAGGCAAAGGTTTTCTCCTATGCTATTTTGTCTTAGGGAACATAAAGGCAAAATCCAAGTGTGGTATTGGAGTTTACAAAATTAAAGAATAAGCTGTTGTATGTACAGAGCAAATGTATACTTTAGATACAGACATACAGCTGAGCCTGTTAATGTACACAGATGAGTAGTTTGACTAGGAATTCATTTGTTAAGTTTGGATGCACTGTCCAGCAGAAGTGCTATATTATCCCTCCAAACAATACACTGGAACAACAAATAATATTTCATACCTTTTCACTATTCTGAGCATAGTGTAGTTCCCTACTTGTCTCAAAAGTATCATGTTTTCTTTGCATCTCCGAGCAGTGCTGAAATACTAGATTTGTGGGGAAAAAAGTTAAGCACATCCATCCAAGCTTAATAAGGCATCCCGAAAGAGGCCAAAGGGGTAAACGGGTTATTCCAAAACAATTAAGAGTAAAACTGCAAAGAAAAAATCAGCAAGTGCTGAACTAGACAAATTCTGAGTCACCTGCACAGAGGAAATGCCATGGATCATGGTCCGCCATTTGTTTAGCAGAGAAGAGGTGAAAGGAGCAAGAGCGCACCCACCCTGGCACTAAGGAAAATGCATTTGCCTCGAGTAATTGTGTGCATGAACACCTACAGTGAACATGCACGCGTACAACCCTTGATGGAAAATTCCTATTTTATATAATGCAACAGGATGTTTTCTTTGCTGTCTTTAGATTACTCAGTGGAGAATAAAATAATCAAACCAGAGTTAGTGTTTCTCTGCTGTTTTGGGTTTTTATTACTAATACGCAATTAGTTTATAAATTCCTTGGTTTATGCTAGTAGTTACTCTCTTTTAATGTAATTTTATTACAAAAACCAGCATGTAAACCTATTAATGTAACTGTAAATTTTATAATACACCTTCTGCCCTACCAAACCAAGATAAGACCTGGCCTTTACTCTGCGAGAATATGTTTTTGTGCATGTGATCTAGAATAACATATAACTTTAATAAAAGAAGCTGTCTATGAGGTAAATAACATGGACTCTTCATTTTTTGTGAGGTTTTATGTCTCTGTATCATCTTCAACATACTATCAACAATGAGTGGATATAATCTCTAGTCATATTAATGCCTATATTTGTTAATGTCTACAAGTCCTGATTGTAAACGTACTTTAGGACTCTTGAGGCTTTCACCATAATGAGTTAGGCTGGTTTCCACATGGAAAAACCTAACTTCTACACAATTAAAAATTAAATTATAAAAAACATTCCTAGGATGCGCTCTATTTTGAAGTGTGTCATATAATCAGTGAGTCTTTCTTTTAAACCATATTTGAATGCCACCCCTCACAGCCTAAAGGTCTGCTTTAGTACAATTTCTGAAGCTATTTGCGTTGGAGACAGATGCTAATGAATTGCACAGAATCAGACTCAAGTCTTTCTACAGAAGAATTCTGCTTTGGGTTCCAACAAAAAAGTTTGCTCCAGCTGAAGCTAGAGACTTAATTTCAAATGTTGCTGGTAATGCTAAACAAAAACACTGGATTTCAAGATCATCATAAATGTTTTCTTTCAAAAATTATTTTTGGGGCTTCAGTTTCATGACTAAATTGTTTGCCAAATGCAGCATGAATTCCAGCTGACCTGAACCCGCATCTTCTAGTGATTAGTCTGTGCAACTGAAACATTCTATTTACCTTTCTTTGTTCACAGGCTTCCTTTGGGCCAAATCAATGCTGCAGAGTCTTTTTTTTTTTTTTTCTTCCATATTTACAGCAGACAAGGAAGCAACTTGAAACATCATGTAAAGCACCTCAGTCTGCTTGAAGCAGTTGGATCACGCTACTTCCTCTTTCAATGTCACACATTAAGTGTGTTTAGAATATTGGTGTTGATCTACATGCCTATGCCAATTAAGAGAACAAAAATGATTGCATTCTTCTCTATCATGACTGTGTTGGCAACAAATATAACATAGAAACTGTTACATTGCCAAAAGCTTCCTCTTTTCCTTGTATAAGGCTTACTTTATCTGCGGAACTGGTTTAAAATCAATGCCTGAAGCAGCTGCCAGGGAATTTGCCAACAAAACTCTACTGCCAAACTCTTAAATGCAGAATAATCTCTAGCATAGGCATAGCCTAACTGATTTTGTTAATTTTAAAAGGAAAATCCATTGAAAAAATATAGTGGAGCAAGTAACAAGAAATACTGAATCTTTTGAAGTCCATGAAAATTAAGACAGTAGATTCAAGCAAGCAAGGTAACGTACAATATTGTACCTGTTCCAACATATGGATGGTCCTATGGAAACGGCCAGGATTTCTTTTTCTAGGCCCCTGCAAAATTCTGCCCTTATAGCCAGTGGCCATATTCAGCTAAACATGTGCCTATGTATATTCATCTTGTGAGGCATCGATATAGAAAACACATTTCTTGTTTCTATAAGTTGGCACTTTTCTTGTGAGAAATTAGCATATTATAACTAACACTGTACTGAACTCTGCCATTGGTTTTCAGTACCTTGTTTCGCTTCCAGAGTTCCAGTATTGGCATGCCAGTGATAATAGAATTGGGATCTTCCTGCACTGCTGAATTTACTCTGTCATTTGCACAAATGACCAGAGCCAAGTCTGTATCTGAGACAAAAAGGAAATATATTACAAAATGTGTTATGAAAGGAAAAGCCACTGCTTCAAGTTATCAAGACAACACCAAAGCACATTAATCAAGCATACAATAAATGATGACAGTTTGTTGTTTCATCTGAATGAAAAAATTAGGTCCATCTGTTGGTGTTCAAACCTAGAATCGGATCTTGGCAGTTGCAATTGCTAATGAAAATTATTAAAAAAATTTTGTGCATTCTCTGTGTAAGATATCATGAAAATAAATACTCCTAAGATTTAAGAGGCAGTCTTACGCAAGGCCCTTGTGAGGTCGCTAAATAGAGCGCATATGTGGAATCTGAGGATGACGTCTGTTATGTTATACCACGTAGTTTATTTCAACACCACTCACTTATGGTCCAAATCTACAATCTCTTTTCTGTTGAGTTCCTCAGTTCCATGGCTCTGCACGCAAGAAGCACTCCATTTACACACAATCCATTGTAGGTCCACGAATTAATGTTGTAGTAGTCCAAGAGATTCCACAGCTTGGGTTAAGATGGTAGAGCACAGATCTAAAAATTGCTAACAATTTCTAAAACCTCTAGCCACAGTGCCCATGAAAGGTCTATTTCTAGAGTAACTCTACTGACCAAGAAATGGGGCTTCATTCAGAGCTGTAGCACCAACAGTATCAGCTAGATCACCCTTATCCTTGTGCTCATTGAATCCTTCATGGAACTCTTAACGAGTTTGTGAAATGTGACATCTGCAAAAGCAGCAGTGATTCCTCTGCCAGACATACCCATGTGCCTACCAATTCTTTCTTTTCTTTTTTAAAGTTGTTCACAGTTTGCCCAGTAAAGCCAAGCTTAATGGCCTGTACATCTGTTCAGTCTCCTAGAATCCTTATTAAAATCAGCCTCACATTCCAGCTTCCATTCCTCTTAACCTTTTTAACCATAGGTCTGGCTATGCCTCCCAGGAGCCTGGCAACCAGAGAAGGCAAGGATGTTCTGGCTGTACCATTTTTATAACTCCTGCAACAGCCCTCCAAGTGACTGACATGCACGAGCCAAAGGAATTTAGTGTACTGTTACATGGAGAACAACCTCCAGGTGTCAGACAACCATAGATCTACTTTGAGCAAAGAGGGGAATAAAAGCAGTCTAATACAGAACCATCTGTTTTCCCTGCTGTTTAAGTTCATAAAATGCATGCAAATACAACGTTGACAAACTTACAACATCAGATATAATAATGCAAGCAGATTAGTCTCATTTACAGCAATGAAGTTGCAATGAAGCTACACCTATTTCAGATCATTATGAAACCCAGATATATCATCTTGCCTTTCCAGATGGAGTTTATAGGACAAACAGCAAGTCAAACATTTTAAGATTGTCAACGGAAAAGTTTTGACATGAAATCTTCTAAGAGGCAGTAAATTCAAGATTCCATGGTACCAAATCTGGCTTGTAAACCTGCCTTTATGAGCTATTACCTGCATATTTGCTTGGAACAAAATCATAGTTTGACTCCCATCCATTAAGCTGGGTCCAGTGATAGGAAGCAGCTCTAAAACAGATAAAGCAGTGAAGAATTCTTATGTGAAAGAAACAAGGCCAGAGCAAGGTGATACAAAGATCTGAAAAGGTGCTGCTGAAATTACCAGATCCCCACCTGTCATCAGTGGCCTATGTAGCCTTTGGTTTAACAGCTGGCAACCTCAGAAGGAGGGGGAAGGCCTGGAGGCCATATAGAGCCATGTTTGCCTTTCTTCCTGATACTACAGATCATATGCATCTCCAGAGATATGACCACAGCTTTTATGGCCTTCCTTATTTATGCAGTGTGGAATATGTTTGCCATCCTCACAAACTTAGGACTTACAAAGAAAAAAAAATCCCAAAGAGACAATTAAGCGAGTGAAAATTAAAACCACAAATCATTAACACCTTGAACATTGATTTTTGTGTGTGTGTTTTTAACACTGCAGCATGCTATTTAGAATTCACTCTTTTATTGCAAATAAAGCCTCTGACCCTTTTAAAAATAATTTCTTTAATCTTCAGGGGAAGAGTATATAAACATCTTGACTAATAACAAATTTCTAGGACTTTGAGTGTTTTCTGTTGGATTTTTTAATGTGACTATACAAAAACAACAGCACTTAACATTGCTCTCTACAGCAGCCTGCTTTGCTGGGGGAGGCACTTTGGCAGTTCCCTTCCTTTTTTTCCATATCCCTCTCCTTTCAGAGGCCCCTCATCATGATGACCCATCCATTTGGCTAAGGGCTGCATGCAGCTGCATCTGAAAGAAGCCAACTGTATTCTTGGGTCAGCTGGAGAAGCCTGCTTGATTACAACTCTGGGTATTTACAGGGCTTCTAACACCCGTCACTTAGGGGAGAGAAGATCTAGGCCTCACCTCAGGTTTCAGCAGAGGTGCAAAACAGATCAGCCAGCTACATAGCGAGTGCTCAATAGCTTCAGGCAATCCAGTGCGTAAAACTATTCTATTTAAGGATTTTCTCCTACATGTTTGGAACCATAGTCTTTTGTTCACACATACTCATAAAATACTGCAACTTTTTGCAATTTGTTGTAACAAAAGAAGCATGATTAGCTGGCACATTTCAACTCAGTAACTATGCTGTCCTGTAGATGAGATGTGTGAAAACTGAATGTTTCCTATCTCCATTAATATTTTCCATGTACAGTTATCCTACAGAAATTAAACTCTCCTAAAATATCATGACAAACTTTTTTATTATTGTTGCAAATTGAAAATGAATGTTGGCCAAAGCTTGCCATTCTTGGAGAAATCTCAGACTGAGTAGCTGATTAGCCTGCATAAATCTTGGCAGTGCTGGGTTACCCATTTTTAAGAAAAACAAGAGGGTTTTTTTATTTTATGAGAATTAACACAGAGGGAGGCCCTGTGAAGTAAGTTCAGTAACTTCATCTCATATTTCTTTGCTATAAACCAGTACCATTCAAAGGTTAAAAAAAAAAATCCATTTAAGGTTTGTGCCCAAATTCTTCGTATTTCCACTATCCCCAGCTCCACGCTAGAGGCCTTCATTATTTTTTAAGATGAGAAAAACTCCCAGCAGAGTTCACAGATGTAAAGTGAAGCATTGCTCATTAAGGTCTAATCATAAAAAGCAGGTCTGACTTGCATCGTAGCTGGAATATACATCAACAGTAAAACCTCAAAATTCCAGGACATGAAAAATGGCATAACCACGATGAAGTTAAAATTAGTGTAGTCTTAGATCTAGGGCCTTGATGAACCCTTTTGCCCTATGATTCTATGATTACAAAAGGATGA